TTAAATCTGTGGAATGGTTGCCACCACTTATCAATAACAATACATATAGAACTTTAGATATCGTCTTTTCAAGATTTTGGGGTTTTTATACACAATAACCATGAGGCAGAAGCCCATAGAAGTTACGTGCATGTCGCGTTGAATTACAATATAGAGAGCGAGAATGCGCGTAACTCTTTTGAGCGTTTGCCTCAGGGTTATTGTGAACGAAAATCCCCTAAATCTTGAAAAGACGCCATCTAGTGTTCTATCTGTATTTTTATTAATCTATGTTTGTAAGTGCAACGCACGTCTTTATCTGATCAACAGGGTTACTCACAAAGATTAAAAGGGAGTGTAATTGGTAATTCCTTAATTTAAAAGGGCCACATGCCTGATTTTTCCTTAAGTCCTCTCTGGAATCAACAATGAGGAAGATATCCTCGTTTTTCTCATTTATGTCATGAAAAATAACAGGAACTTGTGATATAAGGATTAGATTCAGCATTCTGAATTGATTTTATTTCTTTTAAAATTTAGATTATATTGTACAACTATGAAATAGAAAGTCATCAGCGACCATGATTTTTAATTATCAAACTGAACAAAGAATCTGTTTAGAAGTCTTAATCTTTTTGGGTAACCCTGGTCCCTGCAGTCATTAAGTGTATAGAGTCTAGACCAATAATATTTTCACAATGACGATGCTTTTAAAGATGACAACTAGAGCTGGGCACTTTCAAACCTTTTTAACCCCACCGTACGGAACTTATTCTATTACTGTTTTCCTACATTCTGGGTTTTTACAACTTTTTACTCTCTTTACCAAATCATTCATTATCTATGATCTATGTAATTCATGTAATAAAGCTCTTCGCTCATGTATTTTCAAATACAGGGTAAGTAAAAAAACTGGTCTCAAAATTTTTTTATATTTTGGTTTTTTTTTGGAATTTTACGTCTGAAAACATTAGATTTTTAACCAAAAAATATAAAAATTTATTTGAAACATTTAGGTATATAGGAATGATAAAATTTGAATTCTTTTTCTTATTTTGAAACTTCGAATTTTTTTTTCTCCAAAATCTACGAGCAACGCGACGCCGGGCAGTTAGTAATGTTTATAGACAAAATTTCCCAATCATATTAATACATTTATAAAGTATTTGTCCGTCAGTAAAGCCTATTCCTTTGTGGGTATAACCCTGTAGTTATATTTAATGAATTGAGTCTGCATAGCAAACTTTGATTTTATAATCTCACAGGCGTGGACCTTAAATATTTCAAACCAAGGGTATAATGCAAGGACAGTTAATTGCGGTCGTGTATACTCTGCGTACATATTAAAACCAGTTCTCTTTGGGCGGAATTTGTAAACAAGAATAGATGCATCAGTTTTCGTTTAGTATCCGAGGAGGTTAAAAGCATTAAATTTAGATAATTCACATAATAGTTTCCTATGGCCAGAATATTTCAGTGATTTTTTTATGTAAAAGATGGATCCCATTTCAGGCTTTGACATCCGGCTTGTGTTTACATTACCGCCCAGAGGTTGTACATTGCAGTACAAAAAATGTGTACACTTCTGAAATAACTTTCCTTGCATTACAAACTATGAATACAGAGCTGAAAACTTTAAAATGGTGGATATCGAGATTAATGCTTGCTCCTCTCTTTTTCTTAATATCAAGACTAATCTAATCTCGTACTTGTATCCTAAAACGTGCAAAAAATTTAACCAATCTGAGTCGCGTATATACAGACTAATTTTAAAACCGGTTTTTGATTTTTCTCTAACAATATCCAAGAAAGAATGGTTTAAGAAGAAAATCAAAAGTGTGTCCATTGGATACTCAGAGCTGAAAACTTTAGAATGTGATATCCTTAATCCCGATCTGTCAATTAATCTGGAGATTAATAACAAGAGGAGAACAAGCCATATTTAATCTGGAGATTAATAAAAAGAGGAGATCAATGATCTTGATATCCAGCATTCTTAAGTTTTCAGCTCAGATTAAGTAATCAAGATAAGGGATATCTAATTCTAAAGTTTTCAGCTCAGATAGATTAAATAATATTATTTTGAAAATTTAGTTAGAAAATTTAAATTTTAATTATGTCTAATTAATTGGTTAATCTATTTTTAGGTATTTTATATTTTCAAATATTCCAAATTTGAGAATACAGCTAAAACGTTACACAATTCTTTAAATGATTTGTTATTTCTGTAAAACAGTAAACACATAGATCCAGATTGCTATGTTAAGCTTCACCATTGTTTGAGGCTGGTCAACTTTAAGTTGCAATGCTCTAGCTTTTGATTTTTCTCTACTAACTCACACAGTTTATAACTGATATGTCAAAAGGGGTAATTGACACAATGCTCATAGATTTTATTTTAGATCTCAGTGTTTAACCCTGGTGTAGATTTTGCATTTAATATTCATTATTTGGAAGTTATTCCTTTATTTTATGTCAAATCACAAATACAACAAATATGAAAATTCATACTTTACAATGACAAATATTTCCTTAACAGAAGAGTCTAAATGCAAAACAATAATAAAACTTTACTTTCGTTTTTATATTTCACAGTTTCCTGGGTCTCATTGTATGTTTTAAAGAATAAAACGAATTAGAAGAAATTAAGTATGAAACATTAAGCGTTTGCAAAAAAATATGCACCCTGTTAAAATTTTTAATATTATTTTCAATACATTTAATTCTGATTTACATTTTTTATTATTTTTATGACAATATATGTAATTTAAATAGGGGTATACCATTAGTTAGAACGGTAAACCCTTAAAACCTTAATCTAATTAGCTGCTGAAATGGCAATTTTGAATCATCTATAAATTTGTTAAAATCCCCTAAAATGAACCGAAAAATCAGCCAAACAATGCCTGAGACTCTGTCATTTGATATTCCAACCATTAAAATTGACCACCATACGAAAGCACAGGACCAATATGATCCTTTCTCTAGATGCCAAGAATCCTGGATAATCGAACATCACTCATGTGTCAAGGGAATTGCTTCAGAAAAATTTCTATCCAGCCCAAATGAATAATGTTCCAAGGTGAAATAAAATGCTTTCAAACAACTTGAGGTTGTGGACTAGGGGTGTGAAATTTAGTGAAACTTTTTTAAAATCATTTTACAGAGCAAAATAGTATTCCATTTGGAATTCTAAGGCATGTTCATAATATACATTTTTCACAAAATTCAAAAATGTGCCCCTCCTGTTGCCCCACTATTGTTAGCGAAAATGAAAAATGATACCCAATTCAATAAGTATTTCAAAATTTTCATTTTCACTTATACTAGTGACTTTTTAAATATAAATCCCCATTTGATTTGATTTTTGATTTTTGTGAAAAATAAATTTTATAAACATGTCTTAATATTCCTAGTAGAATACTTTTTTGCTTCTGTAAAAATGTTTCAGAAAAATTTCACACCCAGATTCTTTTGATTCGCTTGATACTGAATATGTTCTGAAGGCTGTTGATAACATTAGAAAGAAAGCTGCAGGTCTGTTCTGGCCTAAACGGAGACCATTTTCAGCACCTGCTTTACAAGCACAAAATTGCCATGAGCGGTGATAATTAAGAATAAATGAAAATGATTTGATCTTTGAAACACATTAATAAAACTACTTTTGGGAATTTAATTTTATTTATGTTTATTATAGACAGATAGAAATTACCATTTCAGCAGAAAAACGCTGTGGGATTTATGCTTGATAAAACAAAACTTTCAAGCTTTTATCAATTTTTTGTAAAAAAACAAAACAAATATGATATTAAACAGTTAAGCTTACATTCTACAATACAGAGTAAAGACATGTTAAAAGTAAAATATTGAAAACTTTAAAACTGCACTTTTTATTTATTTTTATTAAAGTTAAAATAAAAGAAAATTAAGATCAGAAGCATTTTGTGATGTATTGATTCTTATAATGAATACTTAGATTTTAATTGTTTTTTCGGAAAATCCAAGGTACTAATGCAAGGAAAGTTATTTCAGAGGTGTACGCATTTTTTATACTGCAGTGTACTGTCTTTGAGCGGAAAAGTAAACACAAGACGGATGTCACTGCCTGACATGGAATCCATTTTCACAAAAATAATCTATGAAATATTCTGTTCATAGGAAATTATTAAGTAAATTATCAAGATTATCAAAATCAAATGCTTTTATCCTCCTGAGATACTAGACGAACACTGCAGATGCATCTATTATTGTTTACAAATCCCGCCCAGAGAGAACTGGTTTTTAATATGTACGCAGAGTATACGCGACAGCAATTAACATTAGTACCTTGGAAAAAAACCATGTTATTTTTTACAGTTTTAGCCCTGGCAATTTCCGTAATAAAACCCCTTACAAAGAACTAAAGTTATAATAACCGGGTAATAAATAAATAAATATTATTTTGTAAATAAAAAAATATTTATTGAAAAGAAATATCGTAAACCCCCCTCACCCCCCCCCCCNTTCGGGATTTCAGGTGTTTGAAGCTCTCCATAATGTTCGTCTTTTTTTGAGACATTTTTCGCCTTGAGTATTCTTGAATTTCCGGATTGTGAAAGAACTTGATTAGAATGAGAGTAGAAATTGTGTCAGATATGATGATATTCAGAGGCATCTGGCGTTGATCTACTAAACTGAACAGTACAGCTAATGCAACACCCCCACTGATGATGATGATAGCTAGGATTACAGTCTTCATGTTAATTATGTTTTTTATTGAATCTGCTTTCTCGGATTTAGCACTAAAATATAATCTGTCACAACCAATAAAAGATATTAAAACAAGTGTAATGCAACAACATAAAAAATATTTGTAAGATTTGTAAGCCAATTGTGAAAGGTTCAAAGATGGACAAAATAGAAAAAAAATCTTAACTAAGACAAAGTTTGCCGGTACAGTTATTAACGTACCGGCAAACCTTTAAGCCCAACTACTTAATCCGAATATCCACTGTGGAAACTTTTAATTTTAGTCCTTAATCCACTCTTTTTCTCTCTTTTATTTGTATTATTTTGTATTGACCAATGACAGCCTTGTAAATAAATTCTATCCCATGAAAGAAATCCGCAATTTCTAACATATCAAGAATTTGTTGTCGGCCATTTTGAAAATTAATCGGTGATGAAAAATATTTAATAACACGTTTGAGATTCTTTTTTAACCAATTTTAACTAATGTATTAATAAATAAATGGGTGAGAAATTAAGTGAGGACCCTTTCAGTCAAGAAAACCAACAAATCTGGCGGTTTTAGAATCCAATTTGTTGATCTAAATATTTAATTTCAAGACTAACATAATCTCGAGATTATGTTAGTCTCGAGATTAGCAAAAACAGAGGATTAAGCATTAATCCTGATATTCACTATTCTAAAGTTCCCATCTCTGGAACTTTATGTCAATATATGTTGAGATATTTATTCATATTATAAAATCTAAAAGATATATTGATAGAATTATGTACTCTGGGCAGTACAAATGTACTGAATTTTAATATTTTTGTTTTAGTTTTTGGCAAAGACTCAATTCCTTATTGATTATGGAATTTAAAACTTTTATAAATATCTAAACTACTGTGAAACTCTGGAAACTGTTAGCATTGTACAAATATGTGAATGATTGATATTTAAATTAAAACCTGAGAGCATGATGTTTCTTGAGATATTGTTCCCCGTACACATGTGGTCCAATTGTGGCAGCTATACACACAATACAGAGGAACCCGGCCACCACAATGTGGGGGTTCAGAGTACCACAACTTTCCAACCCAGTGTAGAAGGACACATGTGGAGCCACATAACCTGGAGAGGCATAACAATCCATAGAATTAAATTTTAGTGACATCAAAAACTTCTATTACTAAAGTAAAATCTGAAACTGTCAATTTTTTTTTATTTTCCAATATTTTTGAGTTCAAAAACGTATTTTGTTTTTTAATGTTAATGCATCTAATTTTTTACATCAAAAATTCATAATATATAAGCAAAAAAATGAAACAATCAATTTTTCAAAAATGTCCCAATATTTTTGAGATGAAATAAAACAAATTTTTTTTTATTTTATATTTACAGATTTAATTTTAATTTACCTCAAACATTTATATCAATTTTTTTAATTTTTTCAAATATTTTCGAGATGAAAATAAATTATTTTGTTGTTTTACGGTGATAAATTCAAAAATGCACCTGTAGTGTACACAGAGTAGGATGGATAAACTAAACCCAGGCTGATTAGTGTTACAAGAATTATCATTATTCTTCTAAACAACTCTTCAGGTTCTAGCTCTATCATTGCCTCAAACTAGATAACAAATATATCAAACTAGAAAACAAATATCTCGAACTAGATAACAAATATATCAAACTAGATAACAAATATATCAAACTAGAAATCAAATATCTCAAACTAGATATCAATTATATCAAACTAGATTACAAATATCTCAAACAAGATAAAAAAATATCTCAAAATAGATAATATAGCTGAAACTAGATAAAAAACTCAAACTTGATAGTAAATATCTCAAACAAGATAAAAATATCTAAAAATAGATAATAAATAGCTGAAACTATATAAAAGATCACAAACTAGAGAGTAAATATCTTAAACTAGATAACAAATATCTCAAACTACAGTCCTAATCAGACAAAAAAAACAGAATTAATTGAAAATTTATCAGGGGACTTTACAAATATCTCTGGCAATTTTAAATACTCAAAAAAGGCAGACCACATTTTGGAAATGGCAGGATATTTGTGATTTTGTTCCATCAATCATATTTGTAAAATTATATTGTAAAATCGCCTTATTAATTGTAAATTAATCCCAGATCTTACTGATTAGGACTTTAGATAAAAAATATCTTAAACTAGATAACAGAAATCTCAATCGAGATAAAAAAAATATTACAAACTAGATACAAATATCTCAAACCTTGATGATCATTAGTAGTCTACATACCTTGATGATCATGAGTAGTCTATATATCTTGATGATCATGAGTATTCTATATACCTTGATGATCATTAGTAGTCTGCATACCTTGATGTTCTTGAGTAGTCTATATACCATGATGATCATGGTTAGTCTGCATACCTTGATGATCATGAGTAGTCTACAGACTGAGCTGATTATGAGTAGTCTATATACCTTGATTTGATGAGATCATGTGTAGTCTATATATCTTGATTATCATGAGTAGGTTATATACCTTGATGATCATGAGTAGTCTATATTCCTTGATGATCATGAGTTGTTTACATACCTTGATGATCATGAGTAGTTTATATATCTTGATGATCATGAGTAGTCTACATACCTTGATGATCATGAGTAGTCTACATACCTTGATGATCATGAGTAGTCTACAGACTGAGATGATGATGGAGAGCCCAAGGGACAGATTGATCAAGAAGAAGATCAATAGATCTGCCAAGAACCCGACCCAGTATGGGATCAAGCTAAACGAACTCCACATTGTTAGACACGACTAGAATATTATTAGATTGCGGCAAATGGTCCAATGGTTATAATATATGGTAATAATATATGGTTATAATATATGGCTATAATATATGGTTATAATATATGGTTATAATATATGGTTATAATATATGGTAATAATATATGGTTATATATGGTTATAATATATGGTTATAATATATGGTTATAATATATGGTTATATGTGGTTATAATATATGGTAATAATATATGGTTATAATATATGGTTATATAGGCTATAATATATGGTTATAACATATGGTTATAATATATGGTCATAATATATAGTTAAATATATGGTTATAATATATGGCTATATATGGTTATAATATATGGTTATGAAAAATATTCCCACAACCTCTACTTTTAGAGGTTTTTAAATATTTTCTCCTGAAACACTTTATTTTGTATGTTTTTGTTATATTTCATAAATAAATAATTTTAAATTCTTGTAATTTCAATTCGTTTAAAGTCAATAAGTTTCACGGTGATTTATTGATTTTCAAAACGGACAACCATTGAAAAAAGATTGTTCAAAAATAATTTTCAAATTTACAACGGAAAAGGAAAAAATCGTTTTACGTTTTAAGATTTGAAATGGCGCATATTCCTTTAGAACATTTCTCTAAATTAAATTCATCTATCTGTCGGCTGTATGTTTGTCTAAATTCTAAGCTAATTCTACCTCAAAATATACATGAAATGATATTTCTAACTTAGACTGTTTGATCTATCAGAATTCATATTTTGAAAAATCAACGGTATAAAACATCAGGCTGCAAAGATATAGAGATTTAAAAACAAGAGTTTGTTGCAAGAACTCAGTTCCCTTGTTTTGAAAAATTGTAAAATATGGATTTTATTACAAGTTTGGAAAAAAATGAAATTGACCTAACCTAGCTACTTTAACTTACCATAAAGGTGACGTAGGTGTTGAAGATCTCAACGAGGGCGTGATTGAGGCTGAGGATGATATTAATCCTGAGGTAGGACAATGACCTCCTATAACCTCGGATTAGTCCTGCAATGAGGTTAGAGACCACCAGGAGAAGAAGAAGATAGAAGAAGAAGATTATTAAGAAATATGGAAAACTAGTTCTATAAGAATTATCAATATTTGTAATATTCTCTAAACTAGTACTTAGGTTTAAAGTTTTCTTCATTATCGAAGGCATTCTATGGCTTCACGAAAAAAAATGTCTTTTGAAAAATTGTAAATGCTTCTTCTATTTTGGCTGGCTGGGGTTAGAATGATCTCCTCTCTAGAGGAACTTTATTTCTCTCTTTCTCTTCAAACCGGGTTTAATGGGAATCCGTTGAGAAGGATGACAGGAGATGGAGGGAGCAATATTACTATAGGGAGTAGAGAGTAGGGTGGAGGGAGCAATATTACTAGGGAGTAGAGAGTAGGATGGAGGGAGCAATTTTACTAGGGAGTAAAGAGTAGGATGGAGGGAGCAATGTTACTAGGGAGTAAAGAGTAGGATGGAGGGAGCAATGTTACTAGGGAGTAAAGAGTAGGATGGAGGGAGCAATATTACTATAGGGAGGAGAGAGTAAGATGGAGGGAGTAATACTGTTGTATGAAATTTATAATTTGTTAGAGAAAAAATACCTGTAATTAACTTCATCAAGATCTTGCTTTTGCTTTTAAACTATGATAGGGTCTATGATAGGGATAGAATCGATAAAGAATATTTTTTATTTAAAACTGTTTTTGAGATCTGAGTTTTTGTATTCTATTTCTATGTTAAGAATACTGCAATTTGTTGATCTATTTTTTTAAAAATAAAGGTTAATTCTTGAAACATTAGCGCCTGATCCAATCAGGGTTCAGCCACGTGTTTGTTGTCTATTGTGAACCAATAGAAATAGAATTGCGGTAACATCTATCATTCTATCTATCTCAATATCCAATTAGAGATGAATCCTTAAATCGGCGCTACAACAGTAAATGGAAATATTTTCTTCTACTGAAACTGTAGTGATCTTGAAACAAAAAATCTAGAAACAAGATTAGTTCTTAAAACAAGATTAAATCTTAAAACAAGATTAAATCTTGAAATAAGATTAAATCTTGAAACAAGATTAAATCTTGAAACAAGATTAAATCTTGAAACAAGATTAAATCTAAAAACAAGATTAAATATAGAAACAAGATTAAATCTAGAAACAAGATTAGTTCTAGAAACAAGATTAAATCTAGAAACAAGATTAAATCTTGAAATAAAATAAAATTTTAAATCAAAATTAAATCTTGAATCAAGAATATGTGAAACAAAATTAAATCTTTATTAACTAGATTAAATCTGAAAAAAAATCTTGAAAAAAGATAAAATCTGAACAAAAAAACTTAAAATAATATTAAATGACAAATATTGGGACAAGATTCATTGAAGAACGTTTTATAGAAAATGAACGTTATTTAAAAGTTTTGTTGTCAAGCTGAGTGTAAGATAGTTTCCCTCAAAACTAACTTACACAAAGTGGACTTCAATAGGACAATATTATTTAAAACTGGCAAAATTTAAAGAATTAACTTTTACAAATATTACCTGTAGGTGTAGAAGGAGATAGATTGACTGACTCGATTATTTTAGACGTGTAAACAAAAATGTCAACATATTTCTTATATAGAACTTGTGTTTAAATAAACAGGTTAATGACCGGCCTGAATTTTGCATTATTGTTATCATTTTAAAATGCATGAAATGTGCTGACAAACCAGCAAAAAAGCTATGGCAATTGCCAAAAAAACGAGCGCAAAGTGTCCTGAACCTAAATCTTGATATTCATCGTGGACATTTTGGATTTTCTGCTCATCTTTTCTTTTGGATATTTTTGCTGGATTTCGACCAATATGAGTTCTTTTATTTGTTGCGCTCAAAATTCGCAAAATTTCTAGGCTTTTAAATGGCTGTTCCGTTTATGCACACGGCACTCTGATTGGTTGAATTTTAGACACTTTCCTCGATAACAATTTTAGATTAAATTAATCTGCAGATTAACAAAAAGATAATCATTAATATTCATATCCACAATACAAGAGTTTCCAGCTCTGAAGACCTTTAATTTGAGTATGCTTGTAAACCTACCCACCTTGCATGTTACATTAGCTGTAACATCTATATACGAAGTACAATCTGTAAATTTTGTTCCTTTGTTTACATACAACAGAAGAGCTTTATTGTTTAATATGGCAAATTGTCTTCTTGCCCCTGCTGCAGTTTTCAACACAAACTTGGAACCTTAATGCAAGATATATCAGTTAAGGTTTTCAAGTAAAATATCAATTTATATCTGTTTAAGTATCTTTTTAACTGTTGTTTAAATATCTGTTTAAGTATCTGTTTAGATATCTGTTAGAATCTGTTTAAATATCTGTTCAAATATGTGTTAAAATATATGTTTAAATAACTGTTTAGGTATCTGTTTAAATATCTGTTTAAATAGCTGTTTAAGTATCTGTTTAAATATCTATTTAAATATCTGTTTTAATAACTGTTCAAATATCTGTTTAAATAACTGTTTAAATATCTGTTTAGGTATCTATTTAAATATCTGTTTACATAACTGTTTAAAAATATGTTAAAGTATCTATTAAAATATCTGTTTAAATATCTGTTTAAATAACTGTTTTAATATCTGTTTAAGTATCTGTTTAAGTATCTGTTTAAATATCTGTCTAAATAACTGTTTAAATATCTGTTTAAGTTTTTGTTTAAATGTCTGTTTAAATATCTGTTTAAATATCTGTTTAAATATCTGTTTAAATAACTGTTAAAATATCTGTTTAAATATCTGTTTAACCCTATCCCTGCTGGGGTACTTGAAAACCAAGATACGCTGGGGGAGGGGGGGGGTCAAAGGAATAGGGTTAAATAACTGTTTAAATATCTGTTTAGGTATCTATTTAAATATCTGTTTACATAACTGTTTAAAAATCTGTTTAAGTATCTATTTAAATATCTGTTTAAGTATCTGTTTAAATAACTGTTTAAATATCTGTTTAAGTATCTGTTTAAATGTCTATCTGTTTAAATATCTGTTTAAATAACTGTTTTAATATCTGTTTAAATAACTGTTTAAAAATCTGTTTAAGTATCTGTTTAAATATTTGTTTAAATAACTGTTTAAATATCTGTTTACATAACTGTTTAAAAATCTGTTTAAGTATCTATTTAAATATCTGTTTAAGTATCTATTTAAATAACTGTTTAAATATCTGTTTAAGTATCTGTTTAAATAACTGTTTAAATATCTGTTTAAGTATCTGTTTAAATATCTGTTTAAATATCTGTTTAAATATCTGTTTAAATAACTGTTAAAATATCTGTTTAAATATCTATTTAAATATATGTTTAAATATCTGTTTAAATAACTGTTTAAATATCTGTTTAAATATCTGTTTAAATAACTGTTTGAATATCTGTTTAAATAACTGTTTAAAAATCTGTTTAAGTATCTGTTTAAATATCTGTTTAAATAACTGTTTAAATATCTGTTTAACTGTTGTTTAAATATTTGTTAAAGTATCTGTTTAAATGTCTGTTTAAATAACTGTTTAAATATCTGTTTAAATATCTGTTTAAATATCTGTTTAACTAACTGTTTAAATAACTGTTTAAAGGGACTCTAAAGGAAAAATTAAAAGGGGTATAGGCTGAAAGCTAATCACTTTAGCTCTTGATCGCGACCCATGAAAGTTTTGTCTGATGTTTCTGTCTCGAGAAATTGATATAAAACTGTGTAAAAATTATACGAAAGTTCATAATGTAAAATTAAGAAAATCTTAAACTTAAATCACATGACCAGAATTATCACCAATCGCAGAGCAGTATACTGGTCACGTGTCTCCGCCTGTATCACGTGAACACTGTACTGCACTGGCATTGGTGGAATTTCTGGTCAAGTAATACCATAGATAAATAAATAAACATAGATAGCTTATGTACGCAAAATCACCAAGAATTGTACAGTCCGCGAACTCGAACTTCTAGGGGTCAAAGTGTACTTCAATGATAAGCGGGGTGGTTTGGTGTTTTAATGGATTTTATGAATAACTCCGCGAATGGAACTATTTGAACAACAATATTTCACTGAGTAATAAATCATATTGACGAGAACTTGACATGAGAAGGACTAAACTAACTTAAATTTCTCTCTACAGAACTCATGTACACCACAAGTACTCAATGACATAAGAACAGCCAATGTTCACAACCGACCTAGTTAATCTATATAATAGGAATATCTTTAAAACATCTCTGTACATTTATATCTTTCAAGATGAAAAATGTCGTCTTATGCGCAATCTATCTTTATCTATGAGTAATACAGACTTATTAAATGAATTAAATCTATAAAAAATAGAAATTACAAATATAAAATTAGAATTAAAGTAAACCTAAGTTACAATTAGCTTTCTCTGGGATATCTTTGTTTTCAGATTGGTTGCATATTTGCTGAATTTGATCTTTTTAAACCCACTACTTTTATACAAAATTGTATATATATTAATTTTCGTATACATTTGACAATGTTGTAAATCAATTACTCGAGATAGGAACATCAGATATGACTTTCATGGGTCGCGATCGAGAGCTAAAGAGATCTTTCAGCCTATACCCCCTTTCATTTTTCCTTTACATTCCCTTTAAGCATCTGTTTAAATATCTGTTAGAATCTTTAAACCAAATATGGGCATTCCCGATGTTCTACCGAGTTCCCCAATGAATATGTGAGGCAAATTAGTTCAGAAATTCACGAGTTATGATCGGACATTTAAACAAATACACAGACAAACAGAGATTACAAATTTATATCATGGATATTATAAATGTATTATCAACAAAGAAAATAAGAAAATCGTTTACCATTTACGCATCCTGATCCTTTGGTTTCCAGGTCTGATATAACAACATAGTCGCATCCTTTTCCCTTTATCACACGCTCCTTCGACTTAACAACAGCTGATTGCTTTCTCCAGGTCCCTGAGTTAACAACAGCTGATTGCTTTCTCCAGGTCACTCCGTTGCGGCCATTTTTTCTTTTTATAGCTGACTTCTTCTTCAACACAGGTTTTCCAGCTTGCTTTTCAAGTTGCTTTTTAGTCTAAACATTTCAATAGCTTTTTATGTCTGGTACCGAATTTAATGAATTTAAGCTACATCGCTAAACTAAACTACAGCCGGTTTAAATTTGATCCACCGATTCAAAGTTAAAGACTAAGGAAAAAATTTGAAGCAAAATGGGGGTAGATCTTCAAGAATGGGGTTAGCTGGAAATGAAATTAGCTCTTCAAGAAGGGGTAAGCTCTTTGGGAATGAAATTAGCTCTTTAAGATGATGTTAGCTCTTTGGGAAGGAGATTTGTTCTTTAATAATGGGATTAGCTCTTCGGGAATTGGGTTAGCTTTTCAAGAATGGGGTTAGCTCTTTAAGAACAGTGTTAGCTCTTCAAGAATGGGATTTGCTTTTCAAGACTGAGGTTAGCTCTTCAAAAATGAGGTTAGCTCTTTGAGAATGGTGTTAGCTCTTCGAATGAGGATAGCTATTTAAGAATGGTGTTAGTTCTTCAAAAATGGGATCAGCTCAAGAATGGGATTAGCTCTTCAAGAATGGGATTAGCTCTTCAAGAATGGGATTAGCTCTTCAAGAATGGGATTAGCTCTTTAAGAATGGAATTAGCTTTTCAAGAATGAGAATAGCTCTTTAAGAATGGGTTTAATTCTTCAATTGGAAGTTTTAGGATTCATATATAGCAGCAGTTGAGCAGCTCCCTTACAGCAATTTACACCAACTTTAATAAACATGGGAATTCAGTAACGATCTTAGATCCGTTAAACTGTAACTTTTGATTCTTAAGTTTTTGACTCATGCAAACTCATAGATAAATAGCAATATAGATAGAACACTAGATTTCGTCTTTTCAAAATTTAGGGGTTTTTCGTTCATAATAACCCTGAGCCAGAGGCCCAAAGAAGTTACGCGCATGCCCTCTCTCTCTATTGTAATTCAACGCTGCCTGCTCGGAACTCCTTTGGGCTTCTGCTAAAGGGTTATTGTGAACAAAAAAAACCTTAAATCTTGAAAACACGACATTTAGTGTTCTATCTGTATTTTTAATTATTAATCTATGGGAAAAATAATTGATTTAATAACTTTTTTAATTATCAATTATTAAACTGATATTGCTAAACCTTTTGGTCTGCATGAAGCAAGCAAAGGAAAACTATCGCTAAAATCAGGATTGTCAGCGTAAACCTCATTGCTTCTTTCTGAAAAAAATTGAAAGAAATTCAATGTAAACACAAGACAGATGTTACAGCCTGACATGGGATCCATCTTTCACATAAAAAAATCAATGAAATATTCTGGTCATAGGAAACTATTATGTGAATTATCAAAATTATCAAATTTAATGCTTTTAACCTCCTCGGATACTAAACGAACATTGATGCATATATTCTTTTTTACAAATTCCGTCCAGAGAGAACTGGTTTTAATATGTACGCAGAGTATACACGACCGCAATTAACTTTCCTAGCATTATACCCTTGGATTCTCTTATTTAACAGAAATCAGGTTACAAAGATAAAGCTATTATTAAAGCTATTATTTGTGGCCGAAACTCAGTTTCTTTATTTAGAAAAAAGGACTTGATGAATAGTTAACATAATAAAATGCAAGAAACACATAAATGAAATATAGTGCAAATGAGAATAGAGAAAAGTAATAAACAAAATCATGCTATTTTGTTCATATAGAAATACTAAAAAAAAACTATGAATAAATGAAACTTATCTGATATTGAAAAAGATACTTATACTGAGTTCAAAGTTGTGGATAAAAATTGTACGTCCACAAGGGAAGAGGTTCTACACTCTTCTGAATGTTCAATACAGTCTCAACAAGTTTGAAGGATGCTAATATGAACTGTAAACAGATAATTATATATTCCCGACAGAGTTTGCATGATTTCTCATTAATTACATATTTTTAGACAAATTAAAGAGTTAAGTATTTAAAAAGATACATAAGGAGGAATGGGAACATGATGGAGGAATGGGAACATGATTGAGGAATGGGAATATGATGGAGGAAAAGGAACAAGATGGAGGAATAGGAACATGATGGAGGAATAGGAACATGATGGTGGAATAGGAACAAGATGGAGAAATAGGAACAAGATGGAGGGATAGGAACAAGATTGAGGAATTGAAACATGATACAGGTATAGGAAATAGGAAGGAGACGGAGAAATAGGAAAAAATGGAGGAAAAGGAACATGATGGAGGAATAGGAACAAGATGTAGGAATGGGAACAATATGGAGTAACAGGAACATGATAGAGGAATAGGAACATGATGGTGGAATAGGAACAAGATGGAAGAATTGGAACATGATGGAGGAATAGGAACATGATGGTGGAATAGGAACATAATGGAGGAATAGGAACATGATGGAGGAATAGGAACAAGATGGAGGACAAGGAACATTATGGAGGAATAGGAACATGATGGAGGAATAGGAACATGATGGAGGAATAGGAACATGATGGAGGTATAGGAATAAGACGGAGGAATAGGAACATGATGGTGGAATAGAAACATGATGGAGGAATAGGAACAAGATGGAGAAATAGGAACAAAATGGAGGACAAGGAACATTATGGAGGAAAAGGAACATGATGGAGGAATAGGAACATGATGGAGGTATAGGAATATGATGGAGGAATAGGAACATGATGGAGGAATAGGAACAAGATGGAGAAATAGGAACAAGATGGAGGACAAGGAACATTATAGAGGAAAAGTTACATGTTGGAGGATTAGGAACAAGATGGAGGAATATGAACATGACGGAGGAATAGGAACAAGATGGAGGAGTAGGAACATGATGGAGGATTAGTAACTTGTTGGAGGAATAGGAACATGATCGAAGAATAGGAACATGACGGAGGAATAGGAACATGATGGAGGAATAGGAACATGAGGGAGGAATAGGAACAAGATGGAGGAATAGGAACAAGATGGAGGAATAGGAACAAGATGGAGCAATAGAAACATGTTGGAGGAATAGGAACAAGATGGAGGAGAAGAAAGAAGATGGAGATAGGAAAATTAAGCGATGAGAAATAAGTACAATGTAAGGAAAAAAAATCAAATATGTTTTAGAAAGTTTGGCAAGAACCAAACAATGTCATACAAAAGAAATATGGCTTTAATCTTTTCAGATATTTATTAGCCTATTTTCAGATATATATTAGCCTATTTTCAGATATATATTAGCCTATTTTCAGATCTATATTAGCCTATTTTTAGATATATATTAGCCTACTTATAGCACTTAATTATAAGTTATACAAGTGCGCTTAAATACGTGCATTTTAAACTAACCTTGTTTTTATATCATGCAATAAAACATATTGTGTTAATGTGCAATTTCGATGCTTTTTAAATTCGGTGATGGTGAAGGACCAAACCTCTTTAGAGAAAAAAAAGTAGATGAATTAGTTCCACAATTATTGAAAATATATTTCTGTCTGGGATGACCCTCGTCAGTTCTGGAGATTATTTCTGTCAGGAAGATTAAAATATACCAGAAAAGAATAGAAAAAATACTCATATTATTTAGATTTTTTTTATTTAGAATCACTGCAATTAAATCAATCATACAGTTCAATTCATAATCTCGATCTTTTGTTAAAGATTAATTCAATCTTTATTAGATATCTTGCATTGTAATCATACCCAGGGAGCTTTGATCAGGGAGGAATAACTAAAATAAAGATATGCAAAGGTATATTTTTTTTATAAATCATCAAATTAGAAGTGCCCTCAGTGGATATCGAAATCTAGCGATCGGGATTATGAATATACAACACAAAAGTTCCCTGCAGTTCTGAACGCATTATACTTTATTAAATCATTTACTAGACTAGACTATTGACAAAACAAACTAACATAACAGAACCAAACTAACATAACAGAACCAAACTAACATAACAGAACCAAACTAATATAACAGAACCAAA